CATTGCACTTACTGACATCCCACATTTTTCTGAGGCTTTGTTCATTTTTCTTTATTCTTTTGTTCCTTGAATTACATGATATTGATTGATCTATCTATAAGATGATGGATTCTTTCTCCCACCAGTTTAAATCTGGTTTGGAAACCCTCCAGTTAATTTTTTCATTTTAGTTATTTTACTTTTCAATACCAGAATTTTTGTTGGGTTCTTTTTTTCTTTCTTTATAAAACAGTTATTATCTCTTTGATGTTATGTTGTGTTTAATGAGACATTGTCATCATAGCTCCCTGAATTTTTTAACCATGGTTTCCTTTAGTTCCCTGAATATATTTATAACAGCTGTTTTGAAGTATGTACATTCATTAGGCAGTTTGCTAAGACATACATTAGGCAGTTTCTGTGCCTGCTAATTTCCTCCTATGTATGAGTCTTAGTTTTCTGTTTTATTGGCATGTGTCAAATTTTTTTTGTTGAACCCTAGACATTTAGATAATATATTGTTACATCTGTGGATACTATTTACCTAACTTCATGTCTGGGGCTTGTTTTTGTTTGCTTATTTATTTGTTTAGTTGTGTGTTTGGTCTATTTTAGTGAAGCCTACTTCCCCTGAAATGTGAAACCACTGATGTCACGCCACAGGGGGCACAGCCTTGGGGTGTGCATAGTCACTCTGACAGTATTTTAGGGGAGCTTTCTTTGTCTTTCTCCCTGATCTCTTCTGTTAAGCTATTCTCCTTCCTTTGATAACAAGTCCAGCTTTCAGGCTCCACTAATTACTGGCTGATTGCTTTATTGTTTCTACAGTGCCCTGAGGCATAAATGACTACATAGTGGGATCCAAGAAAATTCAGGTCCCTTTTCAGGGGTAGCTTTTGAAGTTGATCTTTGAGATTAGTCCTGAGTCTGAGAAGACTCTTCTTAGCTCTTTCCCTGGTTCTGTTTGGTAAAGTGGCTTACTGTAGTTTACCTTCATGATCTCATAGAGCTCCTAGCCTCCTCTCATTGCTTACCATAAGAATCTGCATTGTTTTCAAGAGTACCCTTAGGCTTGAACTTCTCCCATACTCTATTCCAAATAAAGTCAGTTTCTTTACACAGTGCTTCAGCCTTTTTTGTTCTTAAGGCTTGTCTCTACACTTGGGCAAAATCTTAGTGATGATTTTGCTAAGGAATGGGAATAGTGATGTGTTTCTCTAGAATGTAAACTGGAAATGGTGGTGACCTGCCTTTCCATACTGTAAGATACCATACTGTAACGGGGAGGAGGCCTGTCACCTTAGCCATACCAATCCAGAGTAGACTTTTCATCATGCTGCGATGGACGGGGTACAGGGAAAGTAGGGAATGGGTCATGGCTCAAGTGCCATCCACTGTCACTGTTCTTACTGAGATTTAATTGATTTTCGTATATAAGTGTTTCTTTATTTCCTGTGTGCCCTTAGAACAATTTCCAGAGACTTTACATTTTAAAAAATAATTTTCACCAATTTGGTTTGTTTCACTGGAGAATGTTCCATGGAGTTTTTCATGCCACCATTGTGGAAGTTGTCTCTCCTACATGCTCCTCAGTTTTATTATAATATTAATCACTATCATTAGTTTATCAAAGGCTTACAATATACCTTGATACATTATTTCTATCAAAGACTATGCTCTTGAATAGTCCAAGGATACAAACCACTTGAGAAAATATGTTCTGTTGACATGCTGGACTGGTTTGGAAAAAACAAAAACAGTAAGGACTGCATATTTTTATAAGGAACTAAGATTAAATTGAGACATATTCAATTAGACATATGAATGTAACCATTTCACAGGATGAGTTGGCATCTTCTGTTGAAGTTCTCAAAGTGTGGTCCAGGAAACTATCTGAATGAGAAGCACCAAGGTACTTGTTTAAAAAGTAGACTTTTGAACTCTACTTCCGACTAGTCCTCATGCAAAGAGACTAGTAGAAGTATTCAAGTCATGCTTTGGGCTAAATTAGTACAGTGCAAGCTTGGCTAATGCAAACTTCAAGTACACTTTATGGAATAATACTTGTTAAAACCAAATGATAACAGGTTTTACCTGTACTGCTGATGCTGGGGACTGATGGTCTAAAAGAGACTTGTTCCTCCAAACTCTGAAGGTGGATACTGTTTGTGAGATTTATCTGGTAGAAGGAAAGACAATAGTATAGAGACTTGATGTATACCATAGGTTATATGAAGTTTAGAAAAAGTGTATACACAGAGAGTTGGGACAAGTCATATTCCCATAATAGCTCCCACCCCACCCCATATGTGCCTTTATGAAAAGGAATAGCTGGCCTGAGGGAATGTGAAAGCTACAAAGTCATCCAGAGACCTACAGCCTGTGTACTTGGCATCCTGGGTTTTCAAGCCCTCCTCTCTCTACATGTACCATGGCTACCTTTCCACTGATGAAATGAACAATGACTAGCCCTGGCCAGTTTGGCTCAGCGGTTAGAGTGTCAGCCTGCGGTCCGGAGAGACCCCGGTTCGGTTCCCGCTAAGGGCATGTACTTCGGTTGCAGTTTGTCCCCGGCCCTGGTTGGTTGTGCGGGTGGCAGCCACTCGATGTGTCCCTCCACGTCTATGTTTCTCTCTCTCTCTCCCTTCCTCTCTCTCTCTCCCTCCCACTCTATCTGTAAAAAAATGGAAAAATATCCTCGGGTGAGGATAATAAAAAAAAAAAAAAGAAAGAAATGAACAATGACTAAATATAGGTAAGGGTAGAATAGGATAGATTTGTCTTTGAACATTTTCAATGGCTTAATTGCCTTACATAATGATTTAATAAACTTAGTTTTTATTCTTACATAAATATTAAATGAATGTTTACCACATGCCATGGTGCTCTGTTAGGAATTCTGACTTCTTTATTTCCAAATATGGATTTATTTTCCCTCCAAAAGTATTGTTTTCCTCACATGATCTTTTATAATCTTAAGTCAACTATTGATTAACTGGATTGAGAAGGTGGTTATCTATGATGAAAAAAGTATCAAAATGTGATGGGTTTAGCATATACTTATTGTTGAAATTACATCTGATTTTTAGCAATTCTTTTACTGTTCTACAGGCATCATCCAAAATTGATTTGGTATAAATTTATTGTGAAAATGATATCTGATATATGGGGACACTTTCATTGTTCTGGGGATATCATCTAAAAGTAAGCAAAATGACACGAAAGCAATTTAAAAACATTGGAAATGGCACTTAATTGCTAATGTAAAGGGGTCATTGCTACTTATTAAACAGTGATTATTTCTTCATTGTCATATTGGACCATTTTTTTTCTAAGCATTAGGACAGGCCTGAGTTGGGAATATACGCATCCCCAGCTCCCTGTTCCCTGTTCCCTCTCGCCGGGCTCCTCCTCGTCCCAGTCCTAACCCAGGCATCAGGAAACCACGGATGTTTAGGTTCCGCCTTCATCACACGTGCAGCTGCCCACAGCTCACTCTCGGGGGAAGCTGCTGGGAAGGGAGAGACACTGTAAACCCAGCCTGGATCTGGTTCTTTCTGGATTTCCACCCATAGAAACGTCCTAATATGTAGACTCTTCACTGATCTTTAGAATGAATTTTTTACAAATGAACCATTTTTTAACATGATGTGTAATCTGCATCCTGATTAATCTTTCACCGGATAATCACGAGTTATGAGTTGACGTGGCTGAGGGATCTGGATATAAGCACTCGCAGGGGAACATTGTGAAATGGCTTGGCTAAGAAAGTCAGGACACTGGGAACCTGGCCCTTATTCTTTTTAGATTTTGCATCATAGAGAATTTGTGTCTTGAGAGCATTCTGTTTCTGTCTGGTACTGAGAGGCTTCTTGTAGTGTTGAGACGATCATGGGAGCCCTGCTCAGACGTAGTGGTGCTGAGATGATGGATTTACGGCATGGTGTTTTATTATTCTAATAACTGGATTTGCATATATCCAGAAACTAGTTTTGAAGTTTGCACTAACATAAAAACAGGTGATAGAAAAAGGAGAAAAGAAACATAACATTAATTTGGCCATCTATCAAGTTCAGTGTTATAAGCGGGAATATTAAATCTAAACTTGCAAGGGCAGTGTTATGATCCTCGGTTCCTTCTGGGGAAGGAAACTGTGCTTCCTAGTGTTAGTGAGGGGCCCAGGATTACACGGCTGGTCCCTGAGATGGCCTTCATTCCGACCCGGCCAGCTCCACTGTCTGCCCTTCCACCTCCTTCCCGCAACCCACAGAAGGTTAGTAAAATGATTCTTTGTGCCTGTTTCCACGACTTACTACATATTGGTTACAGTTGCTAATGAATAGTTGCCACGAGGATTCTTTGCCCACAGTATGTTGGATTTTAAAGTGTATTGCCCTGGCCGGTTTGGCTCAGCGGTTAGAGCGTCAGCCTGTGGTCCAGAGAGACCCGGGTTCGGTTCCCGCTAAGGGCACGTACTTCGGTTGCAGTTTGTCCCCGGCCCTGGTTGGGTCGTGTGGGGGTCAACCACTCGATGTGTCCCTTCACATCGATGTTTCTCCCCCCCACCCCCCCTCCCCCTCTCTCCCTCGCACTCTATCTGAACAAAAAATGAAAAAATGTTTTCAGGTGAGGATGAAAAAAAGAAAATAAGAACCATAAAGTGTATTGCAGTTTCACAATTTCAGGGTAACTTGCAGCAGTAAGTACTCTCATTCCGTTCAGCTTCCTAAGCACTTTACATCTTTCTTTAGGACCCTACAATCGGGTTAGTTGTGTCTTCCGGTCTCATCCATCTTCTGCCTCCCCTGCACACCTTCTGCCTCTCCTCTCTGAGGCCTCTGAACGCCCGGCCCACAGTGAGGGGCTGTCTCGGAAAGGTGTGTTTGTGAATGTGCAAATTGGACCCTCAAGGTTACTCGTGGCCTGTTTATGCTAGAACTGGATTAATGGTCACACTCCGTCTATTCTCTACCTTGCTTTCAACTGAGAAAACATTTTTCTTTTGTTTGGGTTTATTTCAGCAGATTTAAAGAAAGCCTCCAGTTCAAATGCTGCCAAATCCTGTCTCCCGAAATCTGGACTCCGCCCTCCTGGATACTCGCGTCTGCCGGCAGCCAAGCTGGCGGCCTTTGGCTTCATGCGGAGCTCCAGCGCGTCCTCGGTCGCCAGCACCCAGTCCGCGGACAGCGCACAGCCCGAGCAGAGCCGGCCGGCCAACCGTGAGTGGGGCGCTGGGCGGGCGCCTGCCCCTTCTGCAGGGGCACTGTCCTGTAGGCGCAGGCCAGCAGCACGTGGCGTAACAGTGTCTTTTTATGGAATAAACTAGGAATTTGGGTTGACTAGCTTAATCGACCATTATTGAGATTAAAAAATAATAATAATCTACTGAAGAAAAGTAACCTATTTCACGCTGTTTTCTCAGTTATGGGGAATTTATGTGCTGGAGAAAAGACTTTTAAATTACCCTTAAATCTAGGAAGTGATTGTTCCGGGCACTGATTCCAGGAACCCTTTGCTTCGTGGATTCTAAGTAAGGAGTCCAAGATCCATAAAAGATGTTGCCACGTTGTGCTATCATGAAGCATATTAGATATTAAATATTAGTGGAAAAATCATTTTAGTCACTTGTGATTACCCATAATGCCTCCCTGTGGGTGGAGCACTTGAGTGGATATCTAAACGTTAGTTCAAGCCGTGAAGATAGGAGAGCAGAGCTGGGTTTCGTCCAGTCCGTGCCCGGGAACCTCCCATAGCTGACATACTGCAGTGCAGGCCTGGCTCCCGAGACTTAGGTTGTAAGCTATAGATATATATGGCTTATTAATTTATTTACTTTTGTTACAGATGTTTCTCCTTTTCCCCCCATTGACACCCTCCTCCCAATCCCCCCCCCCTCCCCGCCCCAGCATTGTTCTCTATGTCCATTGGTTATGCACACATGCATATAAGTTCTTTGGTTTATCCCCTCCACCCAGGTTTGTCAGTCTGAACCCTACTTCTGTGTCTCTGGGTCTGTTTTGTAAGCTATATTTCAAAGCATGATTTAATAGCCTCAGGGTATGTCATAAGAACCAGTGTCCTTAAAGAAGATCCAGAGGCTGCCCCATTTGGCTAAGCCTTTGATGACGAAATCCCATCTCAGCCTCCTCAACTTCAAAGTTCCTGTCACTGGATCTGAAGCCATGACGTCTCAGATGTTGGTTAGCAGACTGCTCGAGGGCCAGGGCAGTTTTAGAGGTTTTTGTGGGGAGAGTGTTTTGAAGGGATTACAGTAGTTGAATCAAGTTGGAGGAGGGAGAGGGAGAGGGATATCGAGCTGAGGAAGAGTAATTGAGAATGAGATTGATTTTATAATTTTTTTTTTTCAGTTTTCTTTCTCCAGGCTTGTTCTTTCTCTGTCTTGGGTTTATAGAAGTGATGTGTGGGACATCTGTACACTTACAGTTCTAAATTTTGGTCTACCTAGTTATTCCTAGAAGCATTGCCTTACATTTTCCTTTATCTTGATGTGTGTATAAGCAGTTCCCAAGACTCTCTGCTCACTTGGTTTCCTGAAGGTGCTATGGCTCAGACCTACTCTCCTACTGGATTCAATCTGAGAATACCATTGTGACTAGGGATTACGTCATGGCGCAGCAGATGCCTCAGACTCTGCAGCGGGAGTATAAGAAGGAGCTATTTGCAAATGTGTAACTCGTGATTGTAGACATGTGTGTGCATAACAATCTGAAGATGTTAAAATACAGGAGCGGCTCGTTGTCATCATTTTTAGTAGTAAAATTTCCACTGACACATTTCTCTTTTGGAGGGAGCATGAAGGAAACATATCTCATGTGGCATATATCTTCCTAAGGAAAAAAGTGAAGGTTTTGATTCCCTAAAAAAAAAAAAAAATTCACCTCAAGGTGAATCGAGCCACGTCCCCACGGCAGCAGCTTTTGCTGTGGCAGAGCTGACAGGTGTGGGCAGAACAATTCCAGCTGTGCTTTGGGCGTTTCTAATCTCTCTGCTTCAAAGGCTGCCGGATCGACACCGCCTAAGCACCCAGGGGCTGTGTGCCAGAGAAAATAGCTCCTAGTGTAAAGGCTTCCTATTGAGAGCAATAGTTAATACTGCTATTCAGAACGTTCTAGTTTTAAAACACAGTATGTTATAATTTATTTTGAATTATGTGCCACCTAACTGTATCCAAATTTGTAGTTGACCAGTAAATCACAGAAAAACTTCGCACGTATTTTAATTGATATCTTAGTACCATTAACCATTATTCTTATAGTTGTTATTATATTTAACGTCAAGATAATTTTTATTTTTGTTCCTTAGTGGAGAGAGAGTTGTCGACAAGGATTAAGTAAAGTATGAAGCTCTTAAAAGACCGGAAGTCCTTCGATCGTATCCTTAGGGCAGAGCTTTGTTGGTTTAGCTCCTAGGAGCAGCTAACGTGGTATCAGAGCTGGGTCCTTTTTTCTTCTTGGAATGTAGCTCTTTCTTCAGACCTACTTTCCCATCAGATTCATTATAGAAACCCCACCGCGCTTAGACATTACATCGTGCCACAGTAGATGTCTCAAAATCTGAAACGTGACTATAAAGAGGAGTTATTTGTAAATGTGCACTTCATATTTTTAGTTACTCGTGTGCCTATAACGTTGGAAGTGTCCACGGTGACTGTGGAATGATGCAGGTGATCCATTGTCGAATCCTTAGCGTTTCCTGGGCTAGCTTGGCTTTGCTGCAGCTGTTCTGTGCTGTATTCCTGGGTTCCGAGGGACAGGGATGAGCGTGGAGGGGGGCGGCCCGTGAGCCCCCGGGCATGGATCTCAGCTCCTCCGCGGGGAATCCACCCCACCTGGGTTCAGGCTCCTCGCCATCACTGCAGCCCCCGGGCACGGCTTTCTGTGCCAAGGCCCTTCCATCTCTTCTTCCCTTTTCCACACGATTTTGACAAATGGAACAGACACAGGGAAGTGGATTTGTCTCTAGGTCCTTTGAACCCAAGAGTATCTTAGCTTCCATTTTATAGCTGAGCACACTGAAATCAGGATGGCTCACTCGGGGTCCTGGGCCGGAGTTCTTCCTCTCTTTAGTTCTTAGAGCTGCCATGCAGGGCAAGGACACACCCAGGGTTCAAGCCTTTTCTTCTGTTAGTTGCCTTGAGAGGCTCTTCAGGCCAAGCCCACCTTCCCTGCCCCTTCCAGGCCATCGGCCGAGGAGCTGTAAGCGAGTGGGCTCTGGGAGTGGTGGGGAGCAGCCCGCCTTGTGGAGAAGCGGGCTCTCGGCTGGGCTGCTTGCTGTGTGGGCTCAGGCCGCCTCCCTGTAATTCCCAGCTAGCAGCCGGGTTCCTCTGGGGGAGCACAGAGCCCTTATCTTCTCTGTGCTGCAGGAGACCGTCCTCGGCGCCTCCCTTCTGTCCTTCACCGCCCCCCACCTGAAGGTTATGATGTAGGCCCTGTAGAACCTCCAGGAAACTTGAAGTTACATTAGCGATCCACAGCTTTGTTAAGACTGAAATTGAAGAGGAAAAAAAGTAATTCTCTAACTTGAAATTTACATTCAAAATCATTGTATTTGAGCAGGTCTGATCCAGGATATAGCTCATAATTTCTTTATAGTTTTCAGAGAAGGAAAAAAAAACACAAACCTCCAGCATATGCCTTAGGCACTAGAAACTTAGAGAAAAATAATTACTGTAGAGTTTGGTGTTGGTTACATGCTATAGACTAAAGTATATCTAGCTGTCAAATTATTCAGTAGTCAGGTGTAGACTTGATTTTCCCAGTGGGCAAGTAGGTATAATTTAAAGTTAAAACCTTTGAGTGTGTGTGTGGGGGGGAAGACTTGGGGTTTCGTGTATTAATCATTAGTGAAAGTAGATCCTGTCACTCAAGGAGAGAATGATTTATGTGGAGGGTCATACCTGGGTGTGTGTTCTGAATAGCACCTAACCTGCCGGGTGCTCAGAAACAGAAAACAGCAGAAAAGAGTATAAAGAAGGTGACATTTGCCGCTTCCTTTCCAACTTCTCCTCAGCTTCCTCCCTTTTAAATAGCATCATGTTTTCTCAATGAGGTGAGCTCAGACCAGAAATCATGAGACAAAGGAATTGAAAAGAGAAATTCACCTCTCCACCCCCAAAATAAGGTGGTTTTCCCCCTCTTGTTTTCCCTCCCTCCCTCCCTCCCCCCGTCCTTCCTTCCTTCCTTCCTTCCTTCCTTCCTTCCTTCCTTCCTTCCTTCCTTCCTTCCTTCCTTCCTTTTGGTGCAGGAAGTAGTAGAATATTTGGGAAAGTAAGGATATAGCTGAGGAGCTGGGCAGGGAGGCTGACACCCATGACACAGGGTGTACATGCCACAGCCTTAAAAATGACATGAAGTTGGACAGAAGTTCATGACTGGGGTGGAGGGTTGGCTTCTGATTAGGGTGATCATTTCTCAGAGGGCTGTAAGCTGGGCAATATTTTGGGAGGTGGAGACAGGTTCTAGGAGATCTTGGGGGTGCATCCAGAAAGCCTCCTGAATCTGAGGGCTGGTCATTTCTGCTGCAGCTAGCTGCCAGCCCATCAGAGAGCTGTCTGTCTCCTGACAGTGGGCCATGTGTGGGAGCTCCCCAAGGCTTGCCCATAGATGCACCTACTTCAGGGCTTTGGTCTCCCCTTTGGTCATCTTACCCGCAGCTTCAGCTCTCAGAACTTTGGGTTAGTGTTGAATCCACATTTTCAGCCCCAACCTGTCTCTAGAGCTACTCAGCTACCTTTCCAATGACCTTCCAAACAACCTCCACTGGGTGACTCAGTTACCTCGAGCTGAACATTTCCCCTAAGTGAATCTTGTACTGTATTAGCTTTTGCAAACCGATGCCTACTCTCCACGTTGCTCTGTCTGTTAATGATATCTATGACCTCCTGGCTGCTGAGACTACACATTTCAGAATCAACATTCTCTGTTGTCTTCCTTTGCTTTCTTTTGTGGTCAGTGATCAAATCAGATCAGTTCTTTCTCTCACCTTCACCTTGTCCTCTTTCTTCTCTCCTCATCATCTTAGTACCTCTCACCTAAACTAGTCCCCAAACATTTTCGCTCTCTAATCCATAAGGCACTGGATCCTCGATCGTTTTCCCTTTGACCCTGTTTGATTGCCCCGTGGTGCCCGTCGCTGCTTCTGCTCCTTGCTGGTGCCGCAGGCCCTCCATGAGCGGCCCGCCCGCTTCTCGCCTTCTCTG